AGTCGGAAACACACAGCAGAGGCTCCTAATTTGTCTTTTGACTAATGGGATGGATTACCACGCAGGGGCCTGGGACTCCTGTTAAGACCTTGAGCAAGTCCCTTGACCTCTGAGCCACGGTGGTGCAGCCCGGAGGCCAAGATGCTCCTTAAAAGTCATGCACAAGAAAAGGAAAAGCCATGGGGACCCCAGGCCAAAGTAGTAAGCGTATTTATCGAGCGCTTCTAGCTACAGTTAGTGGAGGAGGGACTATAGTATTTGGTGGTGGTCGAGGGTGAAAAAGAGGGTCCGCAGCCCGGAGGGGAGGCCGGCCCACGACGTCTGTGGGCGGCGGTAGCCCCAGCAATTCCAGAAGGGACGAATCCCTTGAAGAGCTTCCGACAGCCCCGCCCCGCCCCTTGGCGTCTCCATGGCAATAGCCTCCGCGCCCGCGCCGACGCCGGAAACGGCCGGGCGGAAGTTGGGCTGGGGGCGGGGCCGCGCGCACGCGGGGCGGGCTTTTAAAGGAGCCGTCCGCGCCGGGCCGGGCCGCTCCGGGGCTGGAGCGGTGCGCGGGGAGCGTGCGGCTGGTCCGGGGCTCGGCCCGGGGTGAGGGGGAGAAGCAGGGCTGGGAGCCCCGGAGGCGCTAGTGGGAGCGGCCAGGAGAGCGGGGCGGTGGAGTTGCACTCCCTGGGTCGTGGAAGGGAGACGGAGCAGGTCAGCGAAAGGGAGCGTGCACTCCAGAAAGGCTTCTCGGGGGTCGTGGCAGGACAGTCAGGGGCGACGCAGGTAGCGGGGTGAAGACCACACAGGGCCCGTTTGGGACCCTCGTCCCTCTCCCCACGCCCTGCTCTCAGCATTCTTCCCCTCCGTCCCTGCTCGCGGTGCTCCGCCATGGCCAAGCCGCCTGCCCCGGGCTCGGTGCTTGTCCCAGACTGGCATGAGAGCGCTGAGGGCAAGGAGTACCTGCGGTGCATTCTGCGGAAGAGCCGCCGCCGCGTGTTTGGTGAGTGCCTGTCACCTGTCACTTCTGTCACCTGTTGCTCCCTTCAGGGAGCAGAGGAGTCGGTAGGAAAGGGCTTACCCCTCAGCCCTGGAAACCCTATCCCGGGGTCCCCACCCCCATACCTCCCTAGAGCTAATTCCATCTTCAGTGCCAGGAGCCATTGTCACCAGAGACGCTCTGCATGGAGCCTTGACCTCGTACCAGGCCCTGTGGGGGCACGTTCCCACAGACCCCCGTTTAGGTTTCTCAGCAGCACCTGTCACAGATGCAGAAGCGGTAGGGCACCTGCTCAGAGTCATGCCCAAGGGAGGAAGTAAGGCCATGCCTGGAGCACAGCCTGCTGCCTCCGGGAGGGAATCATGCCACAGGACGGAGCCAATTCCCTGGCTGGAGAGCAGAGGAGGGAAGCACTAAGCATCGCTGCTCATGGGGTCCTGTCCCCATGCAGACTCCCATCCAAGCAGGTGTTGATGTCCGCCCAGGGGCCACTCCATGAAGAATAAGGGAGCCTGGTGGCAAAGGCCCAGTCTCTCCGGCCCACCAGCTGCTCCACGGAAGAAAAGAGCCAGTGATCTGCTCCCAGAAAGACTGAAGCCCAAGAAACCCAGTAGGGCAGTTCTGCTCTGTCACCAGGGCTCACTGTGACCCATTCGACAGCAGATGCCATCTGCGAGCCCTTGGGTGGTACCAATGGTTAACTTGGCTGCCAACTGAAAGGTTGGTGGTTCTAACCCACACAGAGGCTCTTCAGGGCTTTGGTGATC